GTGGCTTCAACCTGCTCCAACACTCCCAGGGATCCAGGGGCAGCCACAGCTTCTCTGGGCATCCAACCTCCCAACGAACTTCTCCCCAGTACCCAATCTAAACCCTTCCTTGCAGGTCATGCCCTGCCCTGTTTCCCAGGCCTGCTCCTGCCCTTTCTGCTGCTCTTAAAGGACGTGGCACAAAGGTGACAAAATGCTGCAGGGAGTGGCCCAGCCCCTCCTGCCTTGCACCCAGCAGAGCAGGGCCAGCACAGCCCTGTCCTTTCACCTCCTCCCTTCCCACCCACCACTACCAGGCCAGGGAAGGGAACGGCCAATCCTGCATCCCTTGCTGGAATTATTTTCCCTAACTCTCCTCCCAAGCAGCCACAAGATGTTCAGTACATGGATTTTGTTGCCCACATAGTGAAATTCAGGGCAGAATTTGCATAACTCCACCTGGAGTATCTCTACACCTGCACTTGTGCCCTTACCTTGTTGGGATCAAGTTTACATTTGTCCACAGGGTTTGAGTCCTTGATCACCTCCAGCACATCTTCCCCAAACCGTTCTCCATAAAACCCCTACAACCAAGGAGAAAGGAAAAAAACATCAAATGCAGCCCTGGTGGGGGCTGGGGGCAAAGGCACGTTCAGGGAGGGTGAAGCTCCACATGCCTTTGGCAGAATGTGATCTGCTGAACCCAGGAGAATTCCAACAGTCACATTCCAGGGCAATGGGAAAAAATAAGCCCTGGAAAGCAGAAGAGCCTTCCAACAGTGCCTGGTTCTGAACAAGGCATTTGGGTTTGTTTTGTGTCTGTGTGCAACTAAAACTGGTCAGTTTGGGATCCACTGGTGTTGGAAATGATAGAATGTTTGAATTTCAGTTAATTGTTTTAGTTAACACTTAAATTAACTATTTTAATCATAACCTATATATATATTAATTATAAATACTGAGATATTCCTAAATTACTCTTAGCCAGCATTTAGCAACATTGTCATAACCTACTTTGGTGGGAGCACAGCCTGGGAAAATTAATGGAGCTTTAAGTTTTGTTAAACCAACTCTGCTGTGCTTCAGTGAACAAAGCCTGGGAGAGAGAGATGGACTGCTGAGGTTGGACATCTGGAACTTATGGACCACAAGGACACCTTGGAGAAACCAGAAGATAAAGAAGAGACTAACAAAGACTCACTATATGCCTTGGGAAGACCCTACCGGAGTAGAAAGATAATGGGAACACCACAAATTTTCAGGGAGAGGCTCTAATCAGGGAATTCCTGCTGGTGCCACCAGGGGCACCAGCCCCAGCTCTCAGACACCCAAACTGCTTTTCTGAGGGGCTGTTCCTGTGCAATAACTGATGGGAAGCAATTAAACTTCCAGAGAGACCCTCTCACCTCCAGCCGATGGGAGATTTCAGCCAGCTTGGTTATTGCAGGCTCCTTGTAAACAAACTCCTGCTCATCCAGGTCTCCAAACTTGGTGCCATAAAAACCAACTCGGAAGTAGGTGCCAAACATCCTCTTTCCATCCTAGGGATGGAGAAACAAGAGGTTATTTCAGGGTGGAGACATCCACATCCCCAAGCACGGCTGCAGACAGGCTCCTGAATTTATGCAAAAAATGAAAAGAAATTCAAAACCAAGGGGAAAAAAATTAGAAAGAAAGAAGAGAAAGAAAAATAAACACACCTGGAACTCAGCATGGATGCATTTAGCAGCAAACACCACAATGGAATTATAAACTAACATGGAATTCTGTGGATCAGTTACGACCATTGGCCCAACCCTGCAATGACTTCTCCCAGCCCAGGAGGAGCCTGGAGGTGCCAGCATGGAATTATGGAATGCTTTGGGTTGGGAGGGACCTCAAAGCCCATCCAGTGCCACCCCTGCCATGGCAGGGACACCTCCCACTGTCCCAGAGTGCTCCAAGCCCTGTCCAGCCTGGCCTGGGACACTCCCAGGGATTCACAGCTTCTGTGGGAAATGGAGATTCACCACCCTCACAGGGATCAATTCCTTCCCAATATCCCACCTACATCTATTCTCTTTCAGCTTAAGAAGCATCAGATCTCTGTGAGGCAGCCAAAGGCAAATCAATCCCTTTGTTGGGATCATTATCTGAGGCTCTCCAAAGCCTGTGCAGGGTCAGACACCACTGGAATCACCCAGCATGGATTCCCCCCACATCCACCCTCCAGGAATTGCAGGGTTGGGCCCAAGTCAATGTCCAGTTCACTCACACACACACACAGTGCTCCTGAACCAGCATTCCAGCTGGGAGTGTTACACTCTCTAGGAACTGCCTAGGAGGGAGGGCCAAAGTCACTCCTGGTGAAAGCAGATGCAATCCTGTGCCATGTACCTGCTTCCAGGGGAGCCAGTGGTGAATTTGGCCCCGAAACGCAACAAAAGGAGAGAAACAAGAAAGATTTTTTGCTGGAAAGGCAACGGAGAAAATCTGATTAAAAAAGAGAGAGAGAGAGAGAGAGAGAAGAAAAATGCTTTAAAAATTAAACACACCTTGCTTGTGTTAAAGAACTCACGCTGCATGCACAAACCAGGGGTGCCTTTCAGCAAGAAACTCCAAAATGTTCACCTTTACTCTCGTGACAAATGTGATGCAGTAAAGGACACTCAGGGTCCCTGAGCTGGGTTAGGGTTTGGTTTCAAACAGCCCTTACAGGCGTCCTGGCTGCCAGGTTTTATTTTAGTACTTTGCTATGGCAAAACTGATCTCTTGTGGTGATGGTGAACACAATCTACGGAAGGCAAAGAGGATAAATAAGCCAAACTAAAATTAAAAAACCCTTCAGGCAAACTCCAGTCTGCAAAAACCACTGGCATGGCCATTGCCTTCTTCTCCTGGCTGGAGGAGACTCTGGAGCATCCCTCTGGAGGTGCCTGAGGGCCAAAAACTTCCACTTCAGAGCTGAGCTCTGCCCTCCTGGAGGCACCTGGGGTGAGGAGCAGCCCTCACTCATCCCAAAACAGCAACACCAGAGCTCCTGGGCCCTGCTCTAGAGCCTGTCCCTCTGGGAATCCTCCTGCAGAGAGGGGCTCTTCCCCAGCCCCACTGAAAGCCCAGGGTCTCAGCACACCCAGGAGCCCTCCCAGGTGGGAACTCCAGCTGCAGAGCTGCTGCTGTTTCACTGGAGGCTGCCATTTCCCTGCACTCCCTGCCTTTGTCCAGTGCCCATTCCTCTGGATCCATGCAAGATTGAGCCCCTTTTTCCTCATCACTACCTTTTCAAAGCCACAGTTTTGGGTTAACATTATCCACACTAAAATCCCTGAACACTCAGCATTTCCAGCTTCCACCTCACTGTCACAGACAGAAGGCTCTGACTCGAGGGCTCCTTTCTTAAAGTCCTTCCCAAGGTGGGGTTGGAATCTCATCTCTTTAAAGTCCTTTCCAACCCAAACCATTCCATGACCCTGCCTGGGGGGGAGCTGCCACATGGATCAGCTCCCCAGAGCCAAAGTTTGTGGGATCCTGCCCCAACCCTGGCACTGGGTGGTTGAGGACACACTGATTTCTAATTCATGAGCTTTTTCCTCCCTCCTGGGCCAGGAGTTTCCAGGGTGGGAAGCATTTGCACAACCAGATCCCTACAAGTGAGTTTTTGCCATGGACACCTGCCCAGGAAGTTCCTTGTCACAGGCAGGGTAAAAATGATAAGGGAGGAAGAGAACGCTGTCTGTTGATCAGCATAAATCCCTGAGGAGTCCTGCTGGCATTTACTAAATGCATAAAATCAGAGTTTTGGGGCACTGGGGAGCCCAGGAGGGGCAGAGCTCCAGGGAAGCTCCTGGTGAGATTCCCTGTCCCTGTGTGAGGTCAGCCCCCAGCTCATGCTCATGCTGCTCTGGCTCTCCCTGGTCAATCCAGATGCTGGATCCCAGTTAGAGGCACCCCAGGGGCAGCAGTGAGGAGCCCCTGATGTTGGGGCTGGGAATCTGTGCCTGGACACAAGGGAATGGAGCAAATCCCTTTAGGGAAACACTTCCAGACCACTCCAGGCCTGCCAGGGACATTCAGGAGCTGCCACTTCCCTGGGATCAGCTCCATGCCTGGCACTGGGGACAGGGGATGGCTCCGCACTGGCATCTCAAACTCAGCCACCACCAAACCACTTCCCAGCCACAGCAGGGAAAACTGAACAAATCATTAAATGCTCTGTGGTCTTGTTTCTGGCAAGAGCTAAAAATGCAGATATGAGGGAGGAATTATTAAAAGCATCATATCTCCTATTATTTTATCAAAAAATAATAGGATTTTGGGAGGAGAAGAGAATGAAGGTGAACACTGAATAGCCATCACACAACTGGCAGAGCAGGTAACAGCCACCATGACTTATGAAGGTTCATGATTTGTTATTATGCATGGTAAATACCTTTCCAAATTGCTGGGAATAAAGTTTTGGGGTTATCTCTTGCACGCACACAAAAAGCTTTGCCAACAAGATTTGGGGGGAAATGAAAGATAAATCAGATGCAAGAGGGATCACTGCTTCCTCCTCCAGGACAGCAGCTGCTGCCTGAAGGGTGCAGGAACAAAAGCAACTCCTTCAAAATGCAGAATCCAACCCATCTTTATCAAACTCAGTACTGTTATTTTCCTGCTCAATTTTAACCCAAGGTCCTTTGCAGTGTTGCCAACTACTCCAAGTCTTCCAATATTAATTTTCTGGGAAAGAATCAGCTCCTGGAGCCCTATTATCCACTGGCAACCACCCCATGTACAGCTTAAAAAGAGTTTTTAAATTCTCGTGGCACAGCATGAAAAGATTTTTTCTTAATTTTCCTAATTGGAAAACAAACAAATAGAATGAATTCAACATTTATTCCATGAATAAGCACAGAAAGCCCATCAGCTGGTGTGTTTAAGGAGAGCTCAGGAATGCTCTGGTGCCAGACCCAGGACACAGCAATGCTTGTAGTTGGCAACACCACATTCTTTGTGCCATGATGGGGGTGCTGCTGTTGGCATAGCTCTTTGCTAAAATGAAATTGGGGGTTCCACAGTGTAAAACAAAAAAAAAAAACCAAACCAAAAACAAACAGGGGAGGTGGGGGGAAAAGGGGCAGAGAAAGGGAAAAAAAATTCCACAAGTAGGAACTTACCACAACAGACAATAGTAAGAGTGGGGAGGAGGGTCAGCAACCAGGGCGATAGAGGAGAAAACAGAAAGTATTTAATTAGGGAAATTCCATAAAACAAACAAGCAGCAAATTGGCAGCAAATAAATTTTAAATTAAAAAAAAAAAAGGGGGAGGGGGCAAGCATCCATTAAAATATTTAAAATAAGGGGAGGGGAAAAAAGGGCAAAACATGCAACAAACCTGAAAGCTACAAAGCACAAAGGTCAGAAAAAGTGTGGCAATGAAGGAGCACGATGACAGACGAGAGCTGAACCCACGGTGTCTTTTACCATGCAGTAAAACATGACCAAGTGGTGTTAGAATCATAACCAATGGCAGGAGTCTCTCCAGGGGTCGATTTAGGGGCAGAATAATAAAGCAGATGCTCACAGGCCTTGTTGAACACATTTACATCATTTCCACACCTAGCACAGGCTCTCTGCTGGGCTGTGTCTGCCTGGACCTTCCATGGGGACAAGGGGATGATTTCCAGGGCCAGCCCTGAAGTGTCAGAGTTTATTTTAAGCTGCTCAATTTCCATTTTTTGCCAGGCTGGAATTGAAGCTGACATTCAGACATCACCAGCCTTAATTATGTCTCACAACACCAAAGGTTTTTTTGTCTCAGCCTCGGTTCAGTAAATGTGTGGTGGAAACCTGGAGGGAGGTGGCCCAAAATGAGCTGCCTGATCCATAGAAAAGCAAAAATAAACTGGAAAGATGAAGCCTAAACAAAGAACATCATATTCACAGAGCTTTTCAGTGCTTTCTGAGACTTCTCCGTGCTCATGCACCCACTGTGCCAACTGGACTGGGGCTGGAGTCAAAGTGGCCCTGCAGATCATACAATTGCTTTTGCCCATTTTTAACCCAAAAGCGTGGTTCTCGTGGTGTGTGTTGCAGAACTGTGAGCACACAGCCTCCTCAAAAACCCAGGCAGCAAAACTGGCCCCAGTCAGCACAACTGAGCCCTTTTACTGCCAGATAAAGCCCTACATAAATTGAGTGAGAACAAAAGGAAGCAGTTTCTCCTCTGAGATCAAAGGTGCACCTGCAGCAAACCAGGTTTGTGTTTGGTACCTCTGAGCATTGGTGCTTAAATCGACCCCTGTGGGTGGGGTGAAAGAAAATATGGTATGGAGGGATGATTTTCTGTGTCAATGCTGATGGAAAGAAATATAAACAAATTATAAAAACAAACTAGTGATGATACAGTGGCTCATTCACCAAAGAACCTCATTAGTGGAACACGTCAGCATCCATGCACTACCTACAGCTGCTTATGAAGAAATTCCTACTACAACCATGGTTTATTGGGATTTCTTTGGTTAATGAATTGTTTTAAACAGCAGACAGCAACAGAAACACCCACAGCTAGCACATGTGGGCAAGCGTTGGCGTGAGTCATCTGGAAACTCAATTAGTGTTCTTTGCTAACTAAGATGGAGTTACCTACCTCCCAGCCAGTGCTCTGTGTGATAAAAAGTAAAAAGGGCATGTCACAGAAACCAAAAAAAAAAGTTTCAAAGGCCAAAACATGACCAGCAATAAGCCTGCAATGGTTTCAATGGTTCTAAGTCATCATGCAGCCAAAGCAGCCTCCTCTGGCCCAGCACAGCCAGGCCCTACAGCCCTTAATTTAGCTGGTGGCTTTTGCACCATCCAGGTTTGGAAAGGTTCCTTCAATTCTTTAACCACCACATGAATGAACAAATAAACCCCCCAGCATTTCTGGATGTTACCTACCAGGCTAAAGGAAGGTACAGTGGGTTTTCCCAGCATGCAAAACACAGTTTAAAAGAACATCTGAAGGGGTAAACTGGAATTTTTAAGTCTTGGATAGTTCTGAAGTTACAACAAATCTTGGTTTGTCATGTTCTCTCATATTAAATTCCAGGGGGAAAAAACTGTTAATGATCCTTGTATTTACTGTGGATCATCATTTGACAATTCTCTGGAATCCGAGAATAATGGTTTTTCATTTTCCTTGCACTGAGCATTTGAAGTTTCTTCACAATTCACCCTGCAGCTGAAAATTCAAACCATTACCTGGTGAACAATCTTGCTGAATGCTTCCTGCAGTTTACCATGAATAGTAGACAACTTCTTGGCATCTCTGTTGGCTTCATGAATAGGAATAAGGACTTTGTAAACCTCATTAACTGCTTCATACATGCCAGCCTACAAAAATAAGGCCCATCAGATTGCTCCATCAATTCAACAGCCAGAATTACACACACAGCATTTAAATGATAAAACTATAAAATGAAAAAGTGGCTGAGACTCCACTGTGGGATAATCACATCATTTCTTCAAATGTACCCAGAGAGAAATGGAATAAAATCCCCAGTTACCCCTGAAATCAAGAGCCTGGTGCATGACACCTTGCTGCCAGTAATGAGGATCATTAACATAACCAACCCTGGGATATTTTGGATGGACACAGGCACAAGAGCAGAACAAGCTAAACAGGATCCTAACCAAACCTATGGGCATTAAATACGGAAAAGCTTAAGTGCACATTTCAGCTTTTTCTGTTCAGTTCATCTCCAGCCTGTGTGACCTCTGCACCACTTCTGGCATCCCAGAAGAGATGGACTTGGGAATACCCTCAGGATCTCTCTCCTGGAATGGGTCCAGCCCATTGTGGGCAGCCACTGCACAGAGGGGCTGAGCAGGAACTCCAGGGTTTTGCTCTGGATTTATTGCTACTTGTGCTTAACCCCACTGAATGACACTTCATGTTGTGTCATGGGAATTAATTCACTCCTTTTCCTTGGTTCACTCCAGAGGGCAAACCAAGCTGTCTTAAACAATTAAAACTCCAATTGTTCTGTGCAAATTAAGCATTTACAATAGAATAATACACTCAGAGAGAAAACATTTTCCTTCCTACTGCCCAGCAGTGTGAGACTGCTGGAGAAGGGAGGTAAAGAAATTAAAGTCTTCTACCATGGAGAAAGATGCTGCAGCCTGTTCCAGCAATCCCACCAGACCAGCTTCTGTAAAATACTTCCCAGAACAGATTCCTTCTTCATCTGGGGACACAACATCATCAGAAACTGCTGACTCTTCCAAAACATTGGAAGATATGTTCTGGGGAGATACAAGAGATAAAAATACATTTACTCAATTCAAACAACACTCAACATTTTCAATACTTTGAAAGGCAGCTGATTTGCAGTCAGATCCTGGAATTTCTGTAGAGGTGGCTTTCTATTTTTGTAGAGTATATACATGTATATATAAAATATAGCTTTCTATATTTGTGGAGTATGTACGTAAAATATGGCTTTCTATTTTTGTGGAGTATATATGTAAAATATGGCTTTCTATTTTTATAGAGTATATATGTAAAATATTACTATTTTTGTAGCGTATATATAAAATACATCTATTTTTGTAGAGTATATATGTAAAATATTGCTATTTTTGTAGTGCATATATAAAATACATCTATTCTTGTAGAGGAGCTGTATAAAACACACATTTCCTCACAGAGCAGCATCTCATTCATGCAACAAACAGCGAGCATGGTTTGAGGATGTAGGCACAGAACTCCCAGCACATGGAAACAGTTTGTAGGGCAGCAGCAAAGCCCAAACACCCCTTGGGGAGGATGATGCCCACCTGGAATGTCACACAGCCCACAGGGAGGTATTTCCTGTCCTCCAGCATGCTCAGGTACTCGGCCACCAGGGCTGCAGAGTGCACCAGGCACTGGGCAGACTCGGCGTGGTTGCTCCTCTCGGAATGTTTCCCTGCCATGTTCTGCAGCCACGTCAGCCTCAGGTCAGGGGAATTCTGGTAGCCCTTGGCAATCCTGAAGGGAGACAAAACCTCTGTGCTTCCATGTCCTTTCCTTCTGAACCAGCACAGCCCTTCAGCATGGCTTTTTCACATTGTGTTTAGTCACTTCTGCTTAAACACCGACCCCCTTGGTGCTGTGTGGAAATCCCTGAGACAAGAAGCTGTTGGGATGGAAAGTCACCCTGAACCACAGATTTCTGAGCCAGGTAGTGGTGGGTGAGCAGTGGGTGATGCTGAAGCTCCTGCCCAAAGCCCATGTTTCACCTGAGACTGGTGGCAATTAAAGATGTGGCACAATCAGAGCACACCTGCCTGGCTCCCTGCAACAGAACCCTCAGGGCCATTTGTGCAGACAGCACCATGAAATTTGGCACTTGGGAGCCTAACTTGGCTCTGGAATATCTTTTGCATATGGACACCATTGTATGTACCACCAAAAAGCCTTCTGGGCAAGCAGGTGCTGGAAGACCCCCAAGTTTTCCCTGAAGGAAGCAGGGAGAGTTCCCTACTCAGGTGGAAGATGAGATTTCCAGGGATGGCTGGGGAATGAAAACTCCTTTTATCCAAGATAAGCTGCCCAAATGCCAAACAAAACCTCTCAGCACCACAGTCAAACACAGCAGACAGGCACAGATTGGTCTGTGAGCAGTGAGACCCAAACTGCTCCACAACCAAGTCCTGTAAGTGCCCAAATGTGCAGCATCTGAGCCCAAACCCATGTGGAGCTCTCACATCTCCTGTCCCTACAGTGCCAACTCTACCTGTACATCAGGTCAATCAGCATTTCTGGATCTTCCTGGTGCTCCTTCATTTTAACTGTGTCTGACAGGATCATATGGAGGTTGAACACTAAATCCTGGACCTGTGAAAAATAAGCTGTTGTAAAGAACTGGCAATGGGAATTAAGCTACACATTGTTATGTGAGGAACACAGGCACTCTGAATCTTTGTGTGTTTGCATCTCGTCAGAACTAATAAAAGACCTGAGTTTTATGTGGTTAGATGATTAAAAAAACCAAAACCCAAACTATTTCCAGGGAATACCTGCAAATTCCAGTTCTAGATGGAGGTTTAGGCACAGCCTGTTAATGAATTACTCATTGCTTGTCTTGTGGTTTCTGTCTTTTACCTGGTCAGGAAATGTTGTCTCCCTGAGTTCCAGATCCTCCTCAGCATATGTCAGAATAGTCTTGAGGGAACGCCGCAGGAATTCTTCATTGAAGTTTTGGGATGTCCCCACCAGGGATGACAGGGACATGGTCACCTGCATCTTCACTCTGGCAAAATTCTGCAACAGAGATGTTGTTATGGTATTTCAGCAGCCTGGGGACAGTGCTTTAGTCATGGCACCCTCCTCCCGACATGACAGAGAAAGAAAACTGAAGTTTTGCAAGAAAGGCTGTCTCAAAGCAGTGATTAGAATAAACCTGGTGCAGCCAAACATCAAAATCTGATGATTATTTAATTCCAGATAAAGATTCTCCTGCAAAAATATTAATGTTGTCTGTTTGCACATGGTCTCCTCTCACACACCCTGAACAGGATGACGCTCTCATGAAACATCCTTGATCCCGGATGGTTTTGGTTTGGTCAAGCCTAAAATCTGGAATCCCATTATCTGTGCTGTCAATCCCCTCACAGCCCCTGGCCAGAAGCAGGGTGCCCCCCATTTCTGTGGGGGACTGCACCCACAGCCAGCACCCCAACCCCACTGTCTGCAAGAAGCCAGGGAGAGCAGCAGGACTCACGTTCCCGATCTCGAAGTTCTGCCTCATGAGCAGGTACAGGGAGGCACTGGCGTGGGACCTGATGGGGCCAATGCTGCTGCTGCAGTGCCTCAGGAGCCTCAGGCACAGGTCTGCACACTGCTCTGTCTCCTCCTCAAACAGCAGCTCAGGGAACTGGAAAACAGCAGGGGAGGAAATTGGAGCAGGCAGGAATGAGCACTCAGACAAACAGGCAGCAGTGAGGGTGCACTGCAATGAGAGGGAGCCCAAACCCTCTCTTTTGGGGGAATGATGCTCATTTCAATCACTTTACAAAACTGGCAGCACTGGAAGGCAACTCATTTTACCTTCCCCTCCAACTTGCTCCCACATCTACACCCTCACACTGATTTACATCACTCCTGAAGTCTCAGGCTTAAAACTCTGAGCTGATCCCCACACACCTACAGAAACTGGGAAACAAATCCATTTAAAGTGAGATTTGTCCAGCTTAAACCCCACCTGTGCCTTGGGTGAGATTTATTCAGCTTAAACTCCACCTGTGCCTTGAGCTCCCCTCTTCCCACTCAGTGCCAGCCAGCAGGAACCCAAATCCCATCCATGGTGTGTGAGCTGCACTTTTTGGTGCAGCCAAGCCCAAAATGCAGAAATGCAGGTACTGCCCATGAAAACCAGGCCAGGCTACACTGCCTGAAAATTCGCACTGCCCAAAATAATAATTGCTGGGGGAAGTGACCCCATACAAAGGAAGGAACAGTGCCTTCCTCCCTCAGTGCTGCTCAGGGGGGATTTGTGCCCCCACAGGGGATTCACCTTTGAGACCAAAGCTCTCTGTGTGGCAAAGCAGTGCTGGAGGTAAAGGGCACTTTGGTTGCAGGCCATGCTGTGCAGCAGCACCTTGAGCACCCCGCCGAGGATGCTCTCCTTGGACTCCGTCACCGACACGGTCTGCAAAGGGAAAACAAGGCTCCATGAGGAAAATGGGAAACCAAGATTCCATGAGAAACAGGGAAAACAAGGC